TGTTTTATTTTACAGTTTAAATTGGGTTTTCTATCATAAATGTCTAACTAATGAAATGCAGCTCAGCTTGGACGTCCCTTTCTCTGAAATCTACAACTCCTGACCCAGGTTTAGACATCTGTGCCACTTGCCACGAACACGCCACGTGCCAGCAGCGAGATGGCAGGAAGGTCTGTATGTGCAACTACGGCTTCGTGGGCAACGGGAGGACCCAGTGTGTGGGTGAGTCGCAAACGAGGGTGAAGCTGCATACAAACATCGTGATTCTCTGTGTGAAAGAGTTGATGTCCGGGGGGCGGGGGAGGCGCGGGGTTATTTCACTCACGTGTTTCGTATTATGGAAAGCTTTGTCCCTTATAAGAAGTCTTTGTTTTAGTGTTTGTTTTTTTTTTGGTTTTGGTTTTCTTTTTCCGGTACCGGGAATTGAGCTCACGACCTTGCGCTTGCCGGGCAGGCCCTGTGCCGCTGAGCTAAATCCCTAGCCCTTTAGTGTTTGGATGGATCCTTTTTTGAGCATTTCCAAGGGAGCCTCCCTCATGTCAAAGGTTGTTGAACTTGAATCTCTGGACACTCTGTTCTAACACAAATTTGAAATCTATTTTAAATCTTGAATTGAACTTAGCAACTGGACTGATTACTGTATTTCTTCATTTGTTTGGTTATTTTGATATAAAGCTATTTATATTAGTACCATGGAGGAAAACAGGCCATAATTTCCTATTGGACCTTTTTTTCTTTGAGACTGCATCTCTTTATGTAGCCCAGCCTGGCCTCAGACTCATGTTCCTCCTCTTGCCTCAGCCTCCCACTGCTGGGATTACAGGCGTACACTGCCATACCCGACTTTTGGAGAGGTATTTTTTGAATTAGGGAATTGAGTCCAATTGTGAGAGGCTATTAAACCGATATGAGGGAACCAATAGTGAAATAAAACAATGAATTAAAAGCCCTGCTGCCATGAATAAAACTAAGTTCGTAAGTTGATTCCTTTCTTGTAGTGACAAGGAAGAAAACCTAGCCTTAGAAGAAAGCATAAGGCTGGGCATGGTGGCATACGCCTGTAATCTCAGTGCTTGAGAGGCTGAGGCAGGAGGATCACCTCGACTTCGAGGGCGGTTTGGACTACATAGTGAGACCCTGTCTCAAAAATAAAACAACAAACCAAAACAAAAATAAATAAAAGAAAGCGTAAGAAATTGGTCTCAGGAGTTTCTGCTGACTTCAGAGGCTAGGGCAGAGTTGATAATTTATGGTCCATGAGCCACATTTGACCCTCTGCCTGTTTTCTGTCACTACAACTGTATTGGAACTTTGCTCCTCAGCTTTACCTATTTTCATGACTGCTTTTGCGCTGCGCAAGCAGGGGTCAGTAGTTACAGCGGAGACTGGGAGAAAAAGTTTGCTGATTCCTGGGCTAGAGCTTGGAGGAGGAAGGGAGATTTACTCTCATTTGACTCTTTGCATTTCCAATTGTTTAATTAAAAACACTCCGGGCAGGCTTCAGTGACATAGCATCTGTATTCACAGGGTGACGGACACCAGGCACATGGGTCCCTCACATTCCATTCACCGCAGGCATTTCTGCCGCCCTCTGAGCCCTGCTCCCTGTGAGGCTGAGGCTCACTCTGCTGTGTTTCCCGGGAGATCAGAAGTGACACACTTCCAGCCTAGTCACTGGATGCAGCGTCCTCCTCCGGCTTTCATGAACAATCCAGAAAATAGTTATGCTGGAAAAAGGGGATACCGAGGCTTCTCTTGTAAACTTCTAATTTAAAGTTATGTATTATTATTGTTATTAATTATTATCACTAGTACTGTTTGGTGCTGGGGCTAGAACTCAGGGCCTTGCAGATGCTGTGCTCATGATCTACCACTGAATGACATCTCCAGGTGTTATTACTAAAATGTGGAAAAGCTCACAATTCTCCATCTCCCAGTCTTCAAATAGATTAGGTTGCTAGATTAGGAGGTGATGTTTCTCTGGTGGTTTTGTATACGGCTGATACATAAATATGACAGCCTCGTGTCCTCTAGTCTAGGAAATGTAGTGAAAGAGGCTAGGGAAATGAATCAGTAAGCTGTTCTCACAGAGTTCCTGTCCCCCAGTCTTCAGCACGGGAGAACAGTGTGGGTTGCGGGATATGGTGCGGAGAGATAAACCTTTCTGCGTGTTGTTTCCGTCCATCACCAGATAAAAATGAGTGCCAGTTCGGAGCCACCGTGGTCTGTGGGAACCACACATCTTGCCACAACACCTTTGGAGGCTTCTACTGTGTCTGCCTGGAAGGCTATCGAGCTACAAACAACAACAAAACGTTCATTCCCAACGACGGCACCTTCTGCACAGGTACCCAAAAGGGGGCTGTGGCCTTGGCCACCTAGGGATGGTGGGATGGTATCTGGGCCGTGGAGGTGGAGAGGACAGAGCTGTGAAAGGGTCTGACCAGGGAGAGACTCTCCTTTAAAAATAACAGTGCGCACCTGTAATTCCAGTACTTTGGGAGGCTGAGGCAGGAACATCACAAATTTGAGTCCAGCCTCGGTAACTAAGTGACTTACCAAGACCTTGTTTCCAAATGAAAAATGGCTGGGGATGTAGCCCTGTGGAAAGACCTTCAGTTGAATCTCTCGTACTATAAAAATAAAACAAAAACTATGAAGGATTTTGGATACAGACTTATTAGTCAGTGATAGGGAATTAATGTTAATTTTGTTAGGTAGATGTCTTAGTTACTTTTCTCGTTGCTGAGACAAAATACTAGACACCCAAAGCAAAAGGAGGAAAGGTTTATTTAGCTCACAGCTTAAAGAGGTTTCAGTCCATAATCAGCTGGGTCCAAGGCAGGGTCCCATGGCAGAGGAGATTCAATTCATGGTGGGCAGAAGGCAGCAAAGAAACAAGGGATGACCACGGCTCTTTCTACCCCTTAAGTCTTATCCAGGCTGCTTAGGATGGGGAGTTTAGGATGCTTAGGATGGGGAGCACCCGTGGTGCCCTTGATCCTAGCATTGCACCATGAGTCAATCCCAGCATCACACACTCTAGATCCAGCCACCACTGAAAAAGCCCCACCTATAACTGCCTGAAGCACTGGGGGGACATTTAGACACAAGCCATGGCAATGGAATAATGGTATTGTGGTATATAGAATAATTTTGGGAGGTGCGTGCTGACGTGTCCAGGGGTGTTATGAATAATCTACTGTTATGATATCTGGAAGACACTTTAAATGAACAGATTTTTGATGGCAGGGTGGGAGTGGTGTGTGGGAGTGGCTGTAGTGTTATTTTTCTGATTCTTACCTACGAATGAGAAGAGGCTGTCCAGAGGCAGTGTGCGAGCTGCAAGTTCCCGTAACCTTAACACCTGTGGGGTGTTTTGAGACCACAGTATGTTTATAGGTCAGACTTCGGGGATATGTTGGTTGGAATATAAAGAGGGGGACCACCCTAATTTTCAGTGGCTTTTCTATTATCTGGGCTAGATTTATAGCATACCTTCAACTTTTTTTTTTTTTTTTTTTGGTACTGAGGATTGAATGCAGGGCATTGGCAGAGAGCTATGTTCCCAACTCTTCTTAAATTTTTTATTTTGAGACAAAGTCCCACGGAGTTGCCCAGGCTGGGCTCGAGAACTTTAGATCCTCCTGCCTCAGCCTCCCACGGTGCTGGGATTATAGGTGTGGTAAGGCCTAGCAGCTATTTAGATTTCTAAGAAAATGCTTGTAAACAGTCATGAAGAGGGGAGGCAGGAAAATACTTCTAGCCCTAAGATGGTTTGGATAGATTTCCTCATTGCTGAAAAGCTTTGAGGCAAGAGGAATGCAAATTCAATCCCAGCCTGGGCACATTAGTGAGACCTTATCTGAAAATAAAAAATAAAAGAATGTTGGGAATGTAGTTCAAACTGAAGGCCCTGAGTTCAGTTTTTAATAACATACACACACACACACACACACACACACACATACATGCATGCATTACACACACACAGATGCATATGTACACACACAGACACATGCACACACACGCATGTAAAGCTTTGTGACTTTTTTTTTGAGACAGGGTCTTGCTCTGTTTCTCAGTCTGAGCTTGAACTCACAGTGTAGCCCAGGCTGGTCTCAAACTCACAGCGATTCTCATCTCTCAGTCACCTGGGTGCTGGGATTATAGGCGTGCGCCACCGTGCTCGGCTAAGCTTTGTCATATTTAAAAGTTTGCTTGGAAAAGAAAAGGAGAGAACATGTTGTATCTTCCTCCTGCCGGCAACCACTGTTCCTAAGGCTGGGTTTCATTCTCCCCCTTCACCTGCATCAAGGTGAAATTCCCCAAGGGATACAGTTGATCTATTAATGGCATGAATGACTCGCGCTCTCAGGGAAAACATTTGATGCTGTCTTGTTTTAGATGGCAAGCTGATGGCTATGTGGTTGGGGAGGTGCGGTACATTAAATTAAGTATGGTAAAAAGATGCTAATTTAAAAAAAAACACTTACAAGATGCTGATCTGCTGCCCCGCGTATTCAGTACGCACGTCTTACCCGCGAGGCTGCGCCTGCGGGAGGTGACAGGCACACAGCTAAGTTAGTGGTCCTCCGTGTTAGTCACAGGAAAGCAAAGGTGTTTATTCTCGTACCTGAAGCTGTTCTCAAGGCTGTGGGAGTTTGACAGGAAAACCTTTTATAGCTGTATATTTATCCGTACAGCTCCAAGGCGTGCATTCAACTTTTCAAAGTTAGGAAGAAGAAAGAGGAGGAGGAAGAAGGTGGAAAGGGCAAGGAGCAGAAATATGTTCAAGGGCCGGATAGGTGCCGGCCGAACAAGAGCCAGTCTTCCTGGAGCCGAGGTCTGCTCTAGTCCCGCTACTTATTCTACTTCTTGATGCTATTTAGTGGTTGCCTCCTTTAAAAAAATTGAGACAGCTGGGCGTGGCGGGGCACACCTGTAATTCCAGCATTTGGGAGGCTGAGGCAGGAGGAGCACTGTGAGTTCCATGCTAGCCTGGGCTACGTAATAAGTTCTGGGATAGCCTGAACTACAACATAATGAGACCCTGACTCAAAAAACAAAACAAAGCAAAACAAAATTGAGACAAATTGCCTGGCTCCTTGTAGTATTCACATTGGTGTTTTTTTTTTTTTGAAAACCGAGTCTCACTATGCAGCTCAGGCTGGCTTTGAACTCACTATGTAGCCCAAACTGGCCTTGAACTTGTGGTGATTCTCCTGCCTCAGCCTCCTGAGTGCTGTGATTACAGGTGTGCATCATACTTCAGTGGTTTTTAGTGTATTCATGAAGTTGTGCTACTATTACTGCTACCTCATTTTAGAACATTTCCATCACTGCCAAAATTAAGTCCTGTGTCCATTAGCATTGATTCCCATGACCTTTCCCTCTGGGGTCTCCAGTTAGAACTGTAAGAACTGGTGGAAAATTCTTCCTGCCAGTGATGTGTTTCTTTCTATATCAGTTCCAGGGAAACATCGGTGGGCTGGGTCGGAGCTCGGAGTCTTGGGCTATCAGTCATTATCCAGGGGCTATGACCCTACTTCCTAGATTCTAGAGTCCCGAATCCAGGTGCTTGTTGTATGAAGTATGACCTAAAAATACAGTGACTATTTAAAATTTTAAAAAATTATTACAGTAAAGGACTGTTACGGTTTGTGTCTGGATGTCCCCCCAAAGCCTCATGCCATCATGGGGCAGGCTTTTACAGTTTATGATTGATTCATGATCCAATGCTGGGATTGTGGGTGTGAGTGCTACATCCGCCCTGGGGCAGATAGTTTGCAAATATAAGGGAGAGAAAGGGGCTGCTTGCCGCCACTCCTCCCTTTTGCTCTTGTTGCTTTTGCTGTTTTCCACCACCGTGAACTGTTGCCCTCTGCCATGTGCCACTCTGTTTTGGAGCGAGCTGAGTATGGACTGAAACCTCCACAAACTGTGAGCTAAATAAACCTTTCCTTCCTTAATTTTGGGCCAGCAACGAGAGAAAAGTAACCAAGACAAGGACATATTGCCACGAATCCCCCTCAAAACACTGTCCCTCCCTTTGAACTCATTAATGTCCTCGTTCATGCCACTTTCTGAAGTTCTGGAAGTCTCCTTTTGTGTCTTTAGTTGTGCTGTTATGGTTACCTCAGTGTCCTGTATCTGTTCAGAGCATTTATCTTTCACCGTCCTTTTGACTCGGGAGAAGAGGTAGAAGTCACACAGTGGCAGCTCTGGTGAATAAGGAGAACGAGGACACACCATAGCATTCTCACAGCGCTGCCTTTCTGTTAGATGGCACTTGGTAGCAGTATTCACCATATTTTTCATCATACATCACAAAGACACTCACAGACGAGGATTTCCAGAACTGCTTCAGAAAGTGGCAAGAATGATGAGATAAGTAGGTGAAAATCGAGGAGAGTTTGAGGGGCATGAATGGCAGTGTGTCTTTTGCTGTTGTGCATTTGAACATTTAAGCATTCACCGTGCATTCCGTCACTCCTTGTACTTTGCAGAGCTGCATCCATCTGCAGAGGCACGTGGACTCTCTGGAGGTGCCGTGGTAGGTGAGGAAGGGTTACCGGTTCTAGTGTGATCACTCCAGCCTGTTTGAGAACTCATAGATGTTCTGGTCCCTGGAGCTGCCTCCTCAGTAACTGCTGGGCCCACGGGGACTTCGCCATGAGGCCCAGGTCAGGGGGAGAAGCTCTGCGGCAGTTTCTGTGTGGTGATGGTGCGATAAGTGGAGAGAAATGGGCCTGATGTGGGAGCGGAACCTGCAGCTCTCCCCTGCAGGCCAGCAGGACCGCAAGTAGGCATGGCCTCATAGAGTCAGCTGAAAACTCCAAAAATAGCTTCAGCTTCTTCTCTGTTTTTTTTTTTAATTCCTCAACTCTTGGGGATCCAGCCCAATTCCAATGGTGGCAGCAGCCTTTGTTTTGTAAATTCATTTCCTGTAGCACAGGGCTCGATGCTGTTGCTTTTGGAGAACTGTAACAGCCCTCAGCTGAGCCTCAGGAGGATGAAGGTGAAAGAGGAGTGGCGGAGTGCACGCTTTGGCATCCGTCAGTGCCAGGGACTGACCTCCCACAGCCTGTATCCTGTGGGAACCATCCTAGGGGGAACTCGTCAGCTCTGCGGAGACCAGTGAGGCCTGTTGGTTTCTGTCCAGGTTGGGAGCCTTGTTCTGCTCATGAGCCCGAGCTGTGATTTCTGGAGCAGCCTGTTGCGGCCGCAGCTGTGTCCTTCATGGATACTCTGCTTGTGCTAGGGGGTCGGGGCATAGAGGGACCCCTACCCGTCAGTTTATAGCTGTCCTGCATTTCTCCCAGGGGCTTCTCCAATGGCATCCTC